TGTCAAGGGTGTGGCCCCTAGGAGGGACTGGAGGGTCAGTATTTCTGTCTTGGGTTGAGGGTCACGGCCGCCTTTCTCTGTTTTGGTAAATTTTATTGAAGTATCATAGATACACACAAACACACACAACAAATTGGTGAATCTTGAAAAGATGAACATGGAGGGATGGGATGGAGAGGGAGGTGGAGGGGGGGATCGGGATGGGGAACACATGTAAATCCATGGCTGATTCATGTCAATGTACGGCAAAAACCACTACAATATTGTAAAGTAATTAGCCTCCAACTAATAAAAATAAATGGAAAAAAAAAAAGAAAAGATGAACATGGTATGTGACTAACACCCAGACACAGAAACAGAACATCACCCGCCTCTAAGCCTTCCTTGTGCCCCTGGGAACTACCAGCTTGACTTATATAAGGTTTGACTTATACCAAACCTTATGCTCATCCTGCTTTCTCTGCCCATGGTGTAAACGGGATCCTACCTATGGGCTGTGTTCTTTTTCTGTTTGGCGCCTTTGCGCAATGTGTCTGCGTGACTCTTCCATGCTGTTTTGTGTGGCTGTGGCCTGTTTTGTGGTACAGTGTTCTATTGTCTGTATTCACCCCCACTGTATTTGTCCATGCTACAGCCAATAGACACTGGGTGATTGCCAATTTTGTGGCAATTACAAATAGAGCTGCTGTGAACATTCTGCTGCTAAGTCGCTTCAGTCGTGTCCGACTCTGTGTGACCCCATAGACGGCAGCCCACCAGGTTCCCTCGTCCCTGGGATTCTCCAGGCAAGAACACTGGAGTGGGCTGCCATTTCCTTCTCCAATGCATGAAAGTGAAAAGTGAAAGTGAAGTTGCTCAGTCGTGTCTGACTCTTAGCGAGCCCATGGACTGCAGCCTACCAGGCTCCTCCATCCATGGGATTTTCCAGGCAAGAGTCCTGGAGTGGGGTGCCATTGCCTTCTCTGGTGAACATTCTAGTACATGCCTTTTTCACTGCAGCCTTCTGCCTCTCACAAGATGTAAGAAGTTGAAAACGAATGCTTTAAATCAAAGCTTGAGAAAGCCAACATGCTCTGCCTCTCCAATTCACCCTTTCATTCTTTAAACGCAGTCTGTCCACCATCAGCATGGCACCAAGTGAAGGGGTTTGGCCACAGGCGTCAGACTTCCTAGCACTAAAGCTCAGCTCTGTCACCTACTTGCTGTGCATCCTTGGGCAAGCACTTAACCTCTCTGTGCATTTTTCTTACCTGTGCAATGGGGGAAAATGATAGTACTTCTACCTTCATTTGGTTGAAGATCAAATAAAGGGACAAGGTCTGCACAAAATAAGCACCCATCAAAGGTAGTAGCTATGATTACAGTCAAAGGCACCCTGTCTTTCTTGGCACCCCAAGGTACCCTAATGTGGGTGGCCCCCTGTCAGGATAAGAGGAGACACTAACTAAAGACAGACAACCTCACCACCTCCAACTGGAACGGAGTTGTACCAAAAAGCCCTCACTAATCCCCTGGCGGTCGAGAGGTTAGGACTAAATTCCCCATGCAGGGGGCATAAGTTCTATCCCTGGTCAGGGAACTAAGATCCTGCATGCCATGCGAGGCACAAAAAATAAAAATAAAAACTGCTCTAAAAAGCCCTCCCGTCATCAGACCATGCTCCTTTCCTCTGCCTCTCCAGTCATCAAGGATGTGTGCAGGCCACAGTCACTGTCCTTTTACCCACAAGGCACTGAATTTCATTCAAAATGTGACCTAAAGCAGAGGCACCACTCGGGGTCACTATTAATGGTGTGCCAAGCAGCCTGGTGACAAGCTGCTGGGGCATCAAAGGTGCCCAGAAATCACTGTCTGAAAAAAAAAAATGTTCTAAATGTCCATGCAAAAGGAGAGTCAAGTGGAATATTTCATTATTTTAGATGACAAAGATGGAAAAAGCCCCTAGAAGCATACGGTGCAGAGACCTAGGAGCAAGAGACTCGGGGCCTCCCATTACTGGTTGCCATGGCAACTGTATTTCACATCAGGAACCATTTTCATATGACAGTGACCTGTGGAGCAAAGAGAAGGACAGCTCCTAAGGAAACTCAGTTGAAGGTGGTTCTGTTGGGGTTGGGGTTGGTTTCTGTTTACCAAATTAAAAAAGCACTTAAAGGTGTCCTAAGGAACAGAAATGACCTGAGGGCTCCTTGGGGTTCTGGGTTCCACAACTCTTACTTAAGACACACAGACAAGACATACCTTCACAAATATACACACAGTCTGTTTCGAAGGCCGCTGGGGGCAGCTGTCACAGCCTCCTTTAGCACTGGTCCCACCATCAGGCATCTGTTCTATTACAAAGTCCTTTCCTGGAATCCAGCAAAGTCCCAAGCAACCAGCAGACCACACCATCATTACGTCCTGGGCCAGGTGCCATGAGGACCTGTAACACGCTCCCTGGCCTGAAGCATATGCTTTCCTAGACAAACAGCAAACCCCAGTATCAAAGAGTCTTGCAAGTCAGACTTGAGTTCCAACCTCTGTTCTGCCCACCTTCAAGTGTGTGGTTTGGGCCGGTCCCTGGACCTCACTGGGTTTGTGTCCTCATGGGCAGAATGAAAACCAGAATCTTAGCGCTTACCCCTCTGGGGGCTGCACAGATAACATACTCGAGGAATCTCTTGGAAAGATCAGCACACATCTGGCATGTACTGACCACTCAACAAACAGCTGCTATGAATAAGTGCTGGAAAAGTATCTCTCACACCCATGATACAATTGGAGGTTAATAGCAGAGAACAAAGTGTTCAATGGGGTGGCACAAACTGTCATGAATCCATATGTAAGACCAGCAGGAGTGCAGGCCAGTGGGAATCCAGAAGACTCAAACAGTCCAGGAGAGAGGTGGGATTTGAATCAGTGGCTCAGTGGTAAAGAATCCACCTGCAATGCAGGAGACTCAGGTTCCATCCCTGGAGAAGGAAATGGCAACCTACTCCAGTATTCTTGCCTGGAAAATCCCATGGACAAAGGAGCCTGGCGGGCTACAGTCGATGGGGTTGCAAAGAAGTTGGACATGATATAGTGACTAAACAACAACTGAAGGATGGCTGGAGATGTTCTTGGAGATTAAGGGGAGGAATTCCTTTATTGAGTCAACTGGATACACGGTCCTGGGGATCCTGGAGGAAGGCAACATGCTGCAGGGACACAAAGGGACCTGTGATCAGCAGACAGACATGTGGCTCCATGGGCATGGTGGAGTGGGAAGGCCGGGAGAGAAGCCCCTGGTGGGGTTGAGAGAGGCAAAACTTTCCCAGGAAAATAGCTTCTGAGCTGCGTCCTCCAGACTAAGGCCGACAGGGCTGACCATGGTAGGGAGGGAAGCAGTCTGGGGACTGGAAATTGGTTTGAGGGGGTGAAGCCACATGGCTGGGAACCACAGGGGGTGAAGAGCTGAGCTCTGTGCGGAGGAGGCTGGAAACCTCCGAAGACTTCCCAGGGGGAATGCAGGACAGGGTAAGGCAGCAGCCACCCAGGAGCCATCAGGCTACAGGTGACATGCCAGGTGGACAGTGGGGCTGGAAAGGATTCTGGCATCAGATCAGCCAAAGGGGCCTCTGAACTCTGGCCTGAGACTTTCGAGGCCTGGAGCAGAAGCCTGGTCACAAAAGGGCAGGAGAGGCGAGACACTTGAGGGAAAAAAGGGCATGACAGAGGGGCAGGAAACCCACTGCTAGGGAGTCAGGAGGACATGGTGATCTTCAGGAGTCACTGGGCATTCCAGGAGCCAGGCCAAGGACTAGAATCTGGGGGTGAAGGGAATTCCCTGACAGCTTCCAAACTGAGTTCTCTGAGAAGATAAGCATGGGCCTCTTAAAACATCCCAGCAAAGAGGGAAGGGGCCTCAGAAGAGAAGGAACGATGGAGAACGAAGAACAAAACCAGAGAAGACTGCAAACAGGGCACGTGCACACAGCAACCCCCCTCCTGGGCAGAAGGACTGGCAGCGGGATGAGGCCAAGAGGGGAAAAAAAAAAAAAAACAGTGTTTGGAAACAAGCTGGCTTCCAAGGAAGCAGCTTTAGCAACGTGGTGGGGCCAGCAGCGGGCAGCAGGATTAAGAGGGGAGGCGTAGCGCCAAGAGGCAGGCAGCAGGTGCAGAGTGCTTGTTGGGAAAATGTGACAGTGTGAGAAACGAGAAACCAAGCTTATGGCTCTGGTGCATGTGTTCCCTCCCTCCCCGCACAAGAGATGGGAGGCCAAGTGGATGTCAGAAGTAGGAGGATGGAGGGGCACGTGCAGACGGGCACAGTCCCTCCAGGTGTGTTTTGGAGGGGCGGGGAGCGGGCATGTGGGGAGGCAGGGACTAGACTGCAGCCCTGGCCCCTCCAATGCTCCTACCAGGGTGTCCAGGGACACTCTGACAGTCCCAGACCTCCAAATGCTGGGGGATCGAGGGTTCCGGCTACACAGATGAAGCCTGATTGTACCCCAACCCCTTCACCCCCTGGGCCCCTGAACTCGCAAAGGATGCATGTCCACCTCCCACCTCTCCCCAGGGCCACCTCCAGGGGTGGGGGTGTCACAGATAATCAGGTTCTCAGCCTTCTGAGCAGCGAGCAGGGGACAAAATTCCAGACTTCCCAGAAGAGTCCTGGCTGCAGCCCACGAAAGGGGGCTTCTACCCCCACAGCGCAGGTATCACAGGGCATCCCTGTGAGTCCAGAGCCTTCATCCTGAAGGCAGGGAGGCCCCCAGATGGATTTCTACTCTTCCTCCAAACCTTAACCCTGAGAAAATCAGAGGTGGGCCCGACTGCTGGGAGCAGGGTTTTGGGGAGACCGGAAAAAACACTGGACAGAATTTTCAGGCTGAAAGGCGCGCAGGGTGAGAAATCTTGTCTGGCCAGTGAAAGCTACCTCCACCCCACCCTCCTGGGCACCAAGTGCCATCCGATCCCCACTCCTGACCACCTAACCGAGGGTGAAGGCGCCAATGGCCAGGGCCCAGGCCCACCCGGGTGCCCACGCCCATCATCGGGAGCGTGGGACCCTCACCAGAGGCGAGGCAGAGCGCAAAGGGGTGGTGCGCGTCGTCCCCGCTAGGTCGGGAGGTGCCGGCGACCCCGGGGCCCCTCCTGCCCACGTGCGCGCCCCGCAGGCGGTCGGTAAACACAGCACTTGTTGACGCGCTCGCCCGGAGCGCTAGCCCCAGCGCCGCCTGCTGTCCGCCGCCGCCCTCGACCGCCCACTTGCTCGCTCCCCGGAGCTCGGCCGCCCCGCCCCGCCCCGCCCGGCGCCCCCACCCACCCACGAGCGCGGGCGCTACGGGACCCTCGAGGGCCCCAGGCAGGCTGTGGGCAGGTGGCCGAGCACCAGGCGCTCCGGGGACCGGGCCGGGCCCAGGCCCAGGCACTAACCCGAGCCGCTCGAGACCAGCCCTGGGCTCCGGGCCAGGCAGGCGGGAGGGAGGGTGGGAAGGAGCGCGGCTCGGGCCCTGCGCGCGCCCCTGGCCCGCGCGCCACAGCTCCCGGGGCCCGCCTGCCGCTCCGGGGCCGCCCCGCGCGTCCCCGCGGTCCCCGCCACCTAGACACACACACGCCCCGGCGCTCCCAAACCGGGCCCCGAAAGAGGGGCGGCCCCCCGAGAGCCAGACTTACCCCGGGTCCGGCCGGCCTCCGGCGCGCTCCCAGGCTGCCCTCTGGCGGCGGCCGCGGGAACCCGGCCCCGGTCCCATTCCGCCCCGCCCCGCCCCGGCCCGGGACCCGAGGCCGCAGGAGGGAGGACCCGCCTGAGATCACCCCTTAGGCCAGGGCCCCTCTGGGTGGCTGTCCTCGCCATGGAACCCGTCTCGACCGCCCTTTGCTGTTTCTGAGTAACAAACATCATTGTCTGTTTCCTAAGCAGCTCTAAGTCCCCAAACCCCCGCAAAGATCCATCCTAACCACCCCAGGGAGCAAATGGAGGGCAGGTAAGACTTCTGGGGCCTGAAACAGCTCCCGACACCTGCTGTGGCTCATCGTGTATTTGGTGAATGAATGAACGCTCCACCGATGGCATCGTGTATTTGGTGAATGAATGAACGCTCCACCGACGGACAAAGGACAGGCTGCGGCAACCCGCCACCGTCATTAAAGGAAACGGCCACAAACCCATCAGTCTTGTGTCACAGCTGCCACCTTCTCCACTTCCACCCCCTCGGAGCCCAGGTGCCTGGCTTCCTACGCAGGTAGGGTGGGAGTGAGAAGCGGTGCAGAGCAGTGTTAAAAGCCCTATTACTGTTCATTCTCTACCAGGAATACAGTTCGACCAGAAAAACTGTTTATGAACTGATTTCCTGAGATAACTGCAGAACTGGTAGCTGAGTGAAGACCAGATCTGGAAGTCCTGGTTTCTGGACTCACACAGCAGCCCCCACCAGTAGCTGGGTCAGACCTCTGTTTGGGGTCTGGATCGTGCCCATGGGAGAAGTGATCTTTGGTAAGTTGGCAAATCTCTCTAAGCTAGCACTGTCCAGTAAACTTCCTGCCACCATGGAAATGTCATCTGGCCATGCTGTGTCCTAGCCACCAGTCACAGAGGATGGACTTCTTAATTTCATTTTACTTCATTTAAATTTATACCAATGCAGCTAGTGGCTAAACCTCAATTTCTTGGTTTTTTTTTAAATAGTTTTATTTATTTATTGGCTGTGCTTAGGTCTTTGTTGCTGCTCGGGCTTGTCTCTAGTTGAGGAGAGCCAGGGTTACTCTCCAGCTGCAGCGTGAGGGCTTGTCATTGCTGTGGCTCCTCTTGTCGCAGAGCACGGACTCTAGGGCACGAGCCTCAGTTGTTGTGGCACGTGGGCTCCGTAATTCCTTAGTTGTCCTGCAGCATGTGGTATCCTCCCAGACCAGGGGTTGAACCCATGTTTCCTGCACTGGCAGGTGGATTCTTTATCACTGAGCCACCAGGGAAGCCCTCTTTATTTTTTTTTTTAAATATTTATTTATTTATTTAGGCTGCACCAGGTCTTAATCATGGCACGTGGGATCTTCACTACAGCCTGCAGGATCGTTAGTTGTGGCATGTGGAATCTAGTTCCCTGATCAGGGATCAAACCCAGGCTCCTTGCATTGGGAACTCAGAGTCTTAGCCACTGGACCACCAGGGTAGTCCTCCTAAGCGTCCAGTTTCTTTATGTGTAAAAGGAAGGTGATAGTCCCATTGTGAGGATTGAATGAGATCATGTAAGGGAAACCCCTGATGGTAGTCCTGGCTCACTCGAAGAGCTCACTCGAGTTGTTAGCATAATTCTCACTACCATCAGGGCTTCCCTGGTGGCTCAGATGGTAAAGAATCTCCCTGCAATGCAGAAGACCCAGGTTTGATCCCCGAGGACCCCCTGGAAAAGTGAATGGCTACCCACTTCAGTATTCTTAACTGGAGAAGTCCATGGACAGAGGAGCCTGGCAGGCTACAGTCCATGGGGTCGCAAAGAGTCGGACATGACTGAGTGACTAACACTTCCACTGTTTCACCACCACCATCACCTCGCTAACACTAAAACCGCAAGGATGTAGGGACTCTATAGGCTCTAGTCCACTGACCCACACCTCACAACCCCCTCCAGGCAAGAGTCACCCACACCACTCCTTACATAGCCAGGGAGAAAGCCCTCATCATCTCTGGGATGACCTAACCTCTCTTTGGACTGCTGGCCACGGGAAAAAGATTTCTACACTGACCTGAAGTGGCCGCCCTGTAGCATCTCTTCCTGGCCCAACTTGTACCTCTCTGGGGTTCAAACAAATTGAGTCCCCTGCTAGCCTTCCTTCTTTCAATGTCAGAGCTTTCAGCAAAGCACTCCTTGTCCTCTGCTCTGTGCTGGGCCCTGGCCAAACTGGGGATCTGCACTCGTCTCATTTAACTGTTGTTTCCCCAGGCCTTCCCACCCTGTCCCAGTGAGTGTAACAAACAGCATGTGTCTGGCTGTGCCCCATGCCCCGGGGGTAGCTCACGTGGGAGCGGAGGCACAGCCTCCTAGCTCACCTAAAAAGCCATTTCCTCCTCTCCTGGCCTGGTGTTTATTCTTCTGGCGCAGAAGGCAGTATAGTGGGCCCGACCCATTGTTCCCCCCTCCCACATCCCCCACCATAACCTCATCCTCTTGGTGGTGGGCCCCGTCATGTTCACTGCAGAGGGACACATACTTCCATGCATGTGTATATGCCAACATACACAGGTACACACCACCCTTGACCAACCAGAGCTGCAGGACAGCCTCTTCTCCAATGTCACAGCCAGACTCTGTTGATGAGATGTTGGTCCTTTATTGGACCGGAACCTGGTGGTCTGGAGTCAACGATGAGAGAATGAAAGAAGGAAAGAGGCTAATATTCCCTGTGTTATGCAGCCAGCTTTCACACTCCAGGGAATCAGCCAGAAATAGAGAGAGAGAGAGAAAGAAAGAAAGACACGGGGACCCAAGCTCTGATGGAGCAAAGGTACTTTAATCAACATGGTGTGGGCATATATACTGTCTTACCAGGTAGTTATTCTCAGCAAAGATAAAAATTCCAGACTTACAAAACATAAGGTGATTCTTATCAAAGAGAGAGAGTCGTAAACAATCACTTTTACCGTATGGTTCATAAGAAGGAAGAGGGTATTTATCACTATATTGAAAAACTAACAAAGGACATGCCTAGATTCCTCAGCCTCAGCCTGGATTCCTCAGAATATTCAGGAGTTAATAAGGACCAGAGGATTCCTGACAGATCCAAAACAGCACACAGGAAGCCTCCTGTTAAATGCTTCCTGACAATGAGGCCCTTCCTTTTGACTGGCACCTCTTCTCATGGTTGGGAAAGAGTATCCCGCCCCCAGCATCTCCATATCCAAATTCAGAATGGCCTCCTCTCCTCTTTTTTTTCACCTTGGTCCAAATAAGCTCATGTCTTCTCTTTCTTCAAATGGATTCACAGGGTGACAGGACAACAAAAACAGGAAACCCCTTCAAGAAATCGAGGGTGCCTGTGAGGGGGACATCTCACTGCCCAGGAGGATGCTGGCTGAGTATCTCTGTGGCTCCAGGAGCAGAGAATGGTGAGAGAAGTTTAAGGGAGTTGACTCTGCCTCCTAGAGTTTGGGGGCTGACATGAACCAAGAACAGGGTCACTTGACCATAGCTCTGTTGACATTCGAGCCAGTTAATCCTATGTCAGGGGAGTTTTCTAAAGGCCAAGAAGAAACTATGGAAGAGAGCTGCGTTCTGTCTTAAAGAAGTTCCTCTCTAAGAAAGTGGGACAAGGCAACCCCGCTGTCAGAGGCTGAAGGATGTTGCTCTGAAGGCAGGACCAAAGAGGGAAGCAAGAGACTGTATCACATAGGACCTCCTGGAGAAGCCCTCAGATGCCCTCATCTAGAGGAGATCAAAGCAGGAAAAAGATAAGGGGAGAGAAGACAGCTCTCCTCCTTCCACCCTCAAAAAAAGAAGGCTATTTCCTGGTTGGACATCATCAGGTTGAATTTGCTGAACAAATTCATTACACAATCAAAAAAGAATGTTTTTATGCAGACTTCTGCTTCATTCAAGATGGAGTAACAGGGACCAGAGTCAGCTTCTTGCCTGAAGCCACAAAAATATCAGATCAAACATATGAAACACCAACACTCAAGACTTTGGAACATCAGGCAACAAAGGAAAGTGACCCCTGAGAAAGAGAGGAAACAGCAAGGTGAGCCCTGCACTGCTTGGCTTACTGCCTGGAGAGTGTCCAGACTGGGGTTCAGAGAAGAAAACTAGCTGAAGGCAACAGACAGAGCTGGATTCTGGGGAAATGAAACCAGTTAAGAGTTCTCAGGGCAGAGGACTAGAGAGGAGAGAGATGCAGAGAGAGAAACCTAGAGATCTACAGAAAATGCCCCACAAGTCTAGTGAGTACTGCCCAGCACAGGTGTATGAGAAAATGATGTGAGGGTTGGGGGGATGAACCACCTGAAAGGATTAGTGGGAACAGTGCCTGGTGTTCACACAGGGCTGGAATAATGTCTGTTTTCAACAGCCAGAGTGGAAAACATCACATTCAGAGGCCACTAGTTAGAATACTAGGAAAGGGACTTACTTCCCCGATGGTCCAGTGGTTAAGAGTTCATGTTCCAATCGTGGGTTCGATCCCTGGTTTGGGAGCTAAGATCCCACATGTCTCAATGCCAAAAAAACAAACCACAGAACAGAAGCAATATTGTATCAAATTCAATAAAGCGTTTAAAAATGGTTCACATTAAAAAAAAAAAAAAGAATACTAAGAAAGGCCTTACTTTGATACTAGAAAAAAATTCACCTCAGACTGGATCCAGAAATCCAGTTCTGGTCCCACTTAAGCAAGCTTAAATTCAAGATTGGAAAGGATCAAGCTCTTTCCAAACAAGTTTCAAAAACATTTATAGGAATTCAAAACTATCCTGTACCCAACAAGGTAAAATTCACAATGTCTGGCATCCAAGAAAAAATGACTAGGCACAAAAAGAAACTGGAAAATGCAACTCATAATGAAGAGCAAACTCCATTAACTGAAACTGACTCAGGCATGACACAGACGGCAGAATTAGTAGGCAAGGGCATCGAAAGAGTTATCAAGACCATATTCTGTAAGTTCAAGAAGCTAGAGGAAAGTTTGAATGTTAGGTATAGATATGGAAGCTAAAAAAAAAATTACCCAAATTGGACTTCTAGACATAAACACTACAATGTCTGAGATGAAAAATACACTGAATGGGATTAATGGCAGATTAGACATTGAAGAAGAAAAAATGGTTAGCTCCCCTAAACAGTCCTCAGTGAAGCCTACTAATCTTTCTGACACTTCCTTGTGAGTTGATTTTTGTGGACAACTCAAAGTATTGAGTTGTTTAAGGCTTTTTAAAAATTAATTAATTTTTGTCTGTGCTGGGTCTTCACTGAAGTGCTAAGGCTTCTCACTGCGGTGGATTCTCTTGTCATGGAGCACAGACTCTAGGGTGTGTGGGCTTCAATAGTTGTAGCACGTGGGTTTAGTTGCCCTGCGACATGTAGAATCTTCCAGGACCAAGGATGGAACCTGTGTCCCCTCCACTGGACCACCAGGGAAGTCCAAGTATTGAGTGTTGAGAGTGCAGAATAGGAAGGATAGGTCCCAAGGCAAGGAGCCTTAGGAGACTAAGTGGATGGGTCCTGCTTTGATTTCCAGGCTTGGGGGAGCCCCAACTGACATCACAGATATTAAGAGTTCTTTCCCAAATTTTCTCTAGCTGCTTTGTTCCACCCCTGCCATGTGCTGCCAAAAAGGCTTGGTGTTCCTGAGACCACAGTAGGTATGTGACTTGGAGGGGCATTGAAATCTGCTACTTGAGGAAAATGGGAAAAATGCCTGGTCTTCAAGAACCTCGTAGTTCAGTGGGAAAAACAGAAACGTAAAGAAATCATCTCTGGACAATGGTGTGCAAGACGTAACATGCTGCCTACTGTGTAGTGATTTCACGGGAGACAGGTGCCATGGAAGTAGGACATTGTTTACCTCCAATTTACTGCTATGAACACTTTAAGGGATTTGCCCTAGGTCATACAGCCAGCTAGTAGCAGGGCCATTATGCCACCCAACCCCCGTGGCTGCAAAAGGTGCAAAAGAAAAGCAGAGGCGTGAACTACAGTGTGGCAGGGCTCAGATGGGGCTTTTCAGAGGAAACCCTTGTCCAGAGACTCAGAAGAGTAGGAGTTTGCCAGACGGGCCAGATGGGGAATGACATTGCAGGTAGAAGGAACAGAGAAGGCAAGAAAGGGGGTGTTGAAAGGTTGGGAGTGGTGAATGGGGAGGCAGAGAAGAAAATGAGCCCAGAGTGGTGGGTTGGGACTGGCGTGAGAAGGGTCCCAGACCCCCTCCAAGGATGCAGATCACAGCTGGCCAATCACTGCCAGTCTCAGATCCTTGAATTCTGAGGCACCATTAAGGAGTAGGGTTTCCCCGATGGCTCAGCAGGTGAAGAGTCTGCCTGCAATGCAGGAAATTTGGGTTCGATTCCCAGATTGAGAAGATCCTCTGTAGGAGGAAATGGCAACCACCCCAGTATCCTTGCCTGGAGAATCTCATGAACAGAGGAGCCCCGAGGGCTACAGTCCATGGGAGTCTCAGAGAGTCGGACATGATTGGGCACACATGTACACACATCAAGCAGTAAAGAGAGGGACTTCCCTGATGGTCCAGTGGTTAAGATTCCATGCTTCCAACAGGGCACATGGGTTTGATCCCTGGTGGGGGAACATACCCTGGGGTGCAGCCAAAAAAAAAAAAAGAAGTAGTAAAAAGAATCAGCAATCTATGTGCGTGTGAGTGAAGACGACATGCCCCTTTTCTACTGAGTCTTAAGAGGAAAAGGTAAATAGATATTGGCTTATATGGATTTACTCCCACAGATGGGACTGCTTGCTAAAGGAAGACTTTATGAATAAAAGGCGTAGATATTTGCAAGCACCACTGATTGATATAATAATCTGTGGCACAGTACTCCTGTCCTCGGGTCATAGGTGTGTTCATTTATGTGCCCAGAGACACGCTGACACAAATCAGTGATTAAAGCTCAAGCTCTCTTCTTACTTCAAGGCAAGTGATGTTTCTTTTGGTTCAAAAAGCCACAGCTGCTTCTGTATGTTTCCTATGACATTTTCAGAAGACTGGAAATTGGAGGTGGGGGGACAGGCATCTGTGTGGACAACTTAGGTGGCAAGACGCCCCCAAGAGCCCAAGGATTTCTGAGTGTCCTTAGTGATCCAGGACCACACTGGCCAGCACCCTCTGACTACCTTAATCAGGTGGAAGACCCAGAAACCCTCACTCTTGGCTTCCCAAACTCTCAAACTGCAAAGATAACCTTGCTGACTTCCACTTTCTTTTCTTTTTTTAGCCACACTGCATGGCATGCAGGAATTTAGCTCCCCAGTGGAAATGCGGAGTCTTAACCCCTGGACCACCAGCGGCGTCCCCACCTTCCTTTTGAAAAAGGCTCTTCCTTTGACCAAGAGCTTCCCTAGTGGCTAAGACAGTAACGGGAAGATCCCCTGGAGAAGAAAATGGCAACCCACTCCAGTACTCTTGCCTGGAAAATTCCATGGATGGAGCATCCTGGTAGGCTACAGTCCATGGGGTTGTGCAGAGGCAGACACAACTGAGCGACTTCACTTTGACCAAACTTTCATCAGGCTTCTCTAAGCCTGCGTCTCAACAAGACCTCAGCTGTGGCCTATAAGAACTGCATCTCTCAACACAAATGATTTTGTCCACCCTCCTACACACAGAGACCTAAAAAAATAATCTAGCCTGGCATCTAGCAGCCTAAGACCATGGTGTCCCTGCCATGACCCAGCCCACCCCATCCCCACTTGAGTTTCTGTCTGAGAAAGCCCAAGTCTACCAAGGGAATTTACTGTTTGTTCCAGCCAACACCTCAGATAGGCTCCTGGCCTCCACGGTCTTAGAGCATTTATTCTGAACACTTGTTATTATAAATCCTTTCTCTATGCCTTTGAGATGTATGTGTATCTCCTGGAACCCAGGAGTGTCTTTCCTCAAGGACCTGGGAGCCATTCCTTTGAAATATAACCATCAGGAAGGATGGGCCCCCTGTGTCTCAATCTTTAAGTAGGTATCTTGGTTAAGGGCCAGTCACCAGGCTAAGGTGGCCTGATCATACTGACACTGACTACTCATCTTGTGGTTCACTCGCTCAGTCATCTCAGACTATTTGTGACCCCATGAACTGCAGCAAGCTAAGCTTCCTTGTCCTTCACTATCCCCCGAGTCTGCTCAAACTCATGTCCCTTGAGTCGGTGATGCCATGCAATCATCTCATCCACTGCTGCCCCCCTCTCCTTCTGCCCTCAGTCTTTCCCAGCATAAGGCTTTTCCAACGAGTTGGCTCTTTGCATCAGGTGGCCAAAGTATTGGAGCGTCAGCATCAGTCCTTCCAATGAACATTCAGGGTTGACCACTCATCTGTTTTTTTATAATTTTTCACTGTCTTAACTCTGCTTCAGTCCTCACTTACTCTCCTTCCCTATTCCCCGGTTCTCCCTTTAAAGAGGCCAGGTCCCCTCTGTATAGATCAGAACCAAGCTCATTTCTAGGCTAAAGAAGTCTCTTTCCCCTGCTGCAGGAGTGCTGAATAAAATCTGTCTTTACCACCACTTCCTATTACCCAGATTTGTCTTTAGCGCTTTCTAGAAATGTTCCTGGGGGGTTGGAATCTTGGGGCTCCCCCATAACCTCAGAACCAACAGGACTCCAGGATTTGGAATTTAATAGCAGCCCACAGAAGTGAGCACGGGGGGCAGCTATTCAGCAGGCAGCCAACGAGGCCTGGACCTAGATGCACAAAAGGATCTTCCTTCGCTCAGGCAGGGAAGCGCTTGAGAGGCTTCCTATAGAAACAGCAGCATAAATCAACCACAGCTAAATACAGGAAGAAATTTTGATCTTTGAGTTCCGGAAATAGCCTGGGGGCCAAGGTGTGGACACCATCAGTGAATGTTCTGAAGGAAACTAAAGTCTCAAGAGAGGGACTTCCCTGGTGGTCCAGTGGCTAAGACTCCACGCTGCCAGTTCACAGGGTCCAGGGTTCCAGCCCTGGTCAGGGAACTAGATCCCACATGCCACAGCTAAGAGTTCACATGCTGCAACTAAAGATACCACAGGCCACCACGAAGATCAAAGATCCCATGTGCCACAACTAAGGCCCAGCGCAGTAAAAAAAAAAAAAAGTCCCAAGAGAAGCTTCAGCATCCTCAACTGCACAGCACTTAACCATGGATGGTGTGGGGAAGGAGCTATAGACAGAACTGACTGTGTACTATGGCTGATTCATGTTGATGTATGCCAGAAACCATCACTATATTGTAAGATAATTATCCTCCAATTAAAAACAAAATAAATTTTAAAAAAGAATTGCCTATGTAGATTGCAGTTCCCTGGGATTTGTCGTAAGAACTGACAAGCAGAAGTGGCCCAGACTTGAGAAACAGACAATCACATCCAAAAAGCACCCAGACCCTGTGTCAAGAGGCGTGTTTGGGGGTGACATATTCTGGTACACTTCAGGATGAAGGCAGGACGTCTAGAGCAAGAGTGTTCGGGGGAGGGAGCAGGAATTCAAAGACTTGAGACATCTGGACATGCAGGAGAAATAGCAAGGTGGTGAGTGAGTCAGTGGGGCCAGTGGGGCTGCAGGGGAGTGAGGAGAGGGTGGCAGGGGTTAGCAACCCCTTCACATCGCTCTGCTTCTTCTCCACACACATGCTTTTGGCCTTTGTCCTGAATCAACCTGAACCAGGGTACCTCATTTTGTTTTAGAAGCTCTCAAGTAATCTGCCATCTGGATACAATGCGATTTACTTAATATGTTATAGGATTTTTCCTTTCCTTTTTTTAAGATACCATGAGAAATGAGGCGGAAATCAGGAAGCAGTTGGAGTGGCTGATAAAAGGAGGAAAAATAGAGCAAGCATGCTCTTAACAGTTGCAAAGCCCAGGGCAAAAGTAGATGGAAGCCCACATACCGTATGGCTAAATATTAAAAGTGATAAAATAAATTAACATACTGTTAAATAACATAAATACTGTCTTCCTGGGACTTCCCTGGTGGTCCAGTGGCTACCAATCTGCCTTCTGATACAGGGGATGCAGTTTGGATCCATGGTGGGAAACTAAGATCCTACACACTGCAGGGCAACCAAGCTTACATGCTCTCGGTCCTGCACCATAACTAGAGAAGTCCACGCTCCACAATGACGAGACTACGTGCAACTAAGACACATCACAAGCAAAAATAAATAGAAAATCAGGGCTTCTCCAGTGGCTCACACAGTAAAGAATCTGCCTGCGATGCAGGAGACCCAGGTTCGACCCCTGGGTTGGGAAAGAAAAAAAAAAAAAGAAATACTGTCTTCTTACCTTGACAAGTAGCCTTCATAGCAGTCTGGAAGGCCAGATTTAAATTGAGAATTTTCAGCTCTTTGAGGTTCTGCACCCAGCCCACAGCCTGCCACCTCCTCTTCCAACTCCTAGCTCCTATCCTGCACTGAGAAGGGCCTTGAATGCACAGGTCTGGACATCTCAGCCTGCCTGCTGAGGTTCCACCTATGCTTCCCTTGGCCTAGGGCTACTCAAGAGGACGGACCCAGGACTGGGACCCAATTGTGCCGTACAAGCAGGCAGGCGTCATTTAGGCAAGAAATGCCGAGGTGCCAGGTACTCAAGACTGTGGGCTACCTGGAGGGAGGAATGGGAGGTGCTGGGTAGGCAGGACTCCTTGATTCTACAGACTTCCTGTCCCTTGGGGAGGGATATAGCTGTAGGTGGGAGGAGGAGGTGGGGGAGAGTCAGAGCGGCGTCCTGTGAAGCCTGAGGCCCGGGGCAGAGACCCCACTTGCCCACGTCTCAGGCTGGTGCTGCTTAAAAGTGGACATTGCCTGTCTACCTTGGGGAAGGAACTGACGGCATGGAGAAAGCAGGCAGGAAAGAGCAGAGAGTTGGAACCAGCAGCCCAGCCAGCTGGGGGGACCCATGCTGAAAAGTCAGAAGGGAAAAACTGCTAGCTCTACCCAAGCATTCCTATGTCAGCACTGGCCAAAGGGGGGAACATGATCCTTACAGAGACAGAAACCTTAGCTCCTATCTGCTCATAACAATAGCAGCCACAGAAACCACAAAGAGAGAGTACAAACAAGGAAGCTGAAACAAATAATGAAAACGCTATCATCTCTTCTGTTGGTCAGTGAACATCATTGTGAAGTCAGCTGTTTTCTTGTAAGATGCTGGATATAAAACTGGGAATGTGGATTTCAGGCCCAACTTGGGGGCTAATTAGCATTGAGAGGTGAGCAAGTCACTTTGCATCTGTTTGTCTCTTCATCTACTAAACAGGAGCATGCTTGCCCTGTCTCTATCTGCAAGGGATTTTTATAATTATTCCCCAAACTGTATTCCTTTGCTGGAGGTGAATTTTCTGTCTCGAAGCTGACTGGCTGGCTCACCATGACCTTGATGCAACCTTCAGGAAAATCAGGAAGAAAAGTAGTCCAATTGCCTCCTGCCAGATAAGCATCCAGGCAAAGAGGACCAGGGCTTCCTGGCCATCCCTAGTGGCTCAGATGGTAAAGAATCTGCCCTCAATGCGGGAGCCCTGGGTTTGATCCCTGGGTTGGGAAGATCCCCTGGAGGAGGGCATGGTAACCCACTCCAGTATTCTTGCCTGGAGAATCCCCATGACAGAGGAGCCTGGTGGGCTACAGTCCACGGGGTCACAGAGAGTTGGACACGACTGAGCGACTAAGCACAGCACAGCACAAAGACGACCAGCTGAGAGGGAAGCCGGATCAGCCTTTCTCAGAAAAGGAGGGCAGCTGGTCTTTGTAAGCACCTGTCTGCCAGCACCAGGGTCAGCAGGTGGGGTGTCTGGAAAGCAAACACCAGACATCTCCACTAGCAGGCGGTCATCTGCACAAAAGACCTCTGTCGTTTACATTTCACTTAGCTCCTGGGGACAAAAGCAGACAGTCAAGGGGCAGGTTCCAAGCACTCACTGTGTGCACAGCTGTATGGGATACATTAGGGAGCCCGACAGCGGATGAGAGACAGAATAAAGATTCTAGAAGAGCCTGAGGAATGAGAGGTGTTACTGCAGCCATTTGGGGGAAACACAAACTGTGGTGGATAAATCTGGAAAGGAAAGGTGACAGATTGCATCTTGTAAGCCACACTAAAGCTCAATCTTGATCTGATTTGCAACAGGGCGCCCCTGGAGAGTTTTAAGCCAGAAAGTGAAATTGTCCATGGTCTTTAAAAGTTCTTTCTAGCCCCTGCGTGGATAAAGAATGTGTGGGAAGGTTTTGGAAGCAGAGACTATTTAGGAACGAGGTCCAGAAGTTCAAGTCCCAGGCACGGTGGTCAGTCCTAGCCTAGCTGAGGATACAGGGAGAGAGTGGGGCCAAGGAAGACAGCGATGGCTCTGGCCTGCCCAATTGTTCCTGTTCCCCGAGATCGAGACTGATAAAGAAACGAGTTTCTTTGGACACGAGGGGGTTGAAAGGCCAAGGCAGACGTACGAAATTGAACTGGGGAGATAAAAATGTAGCAGAGAAAACATAGCATTTAAAAACGCACAGGAATGGAAGATGTGTGTCCACCCAAGTGTTTAGAATCTTCCCTTTAGCGCCGACCAAGTCAAGCACAAAGGCTGAGCTAAGCACGCGCGCATCTGCAATCCGCCCGCAGCTCCTGGGCCGCAGCCTCTGGGTTGCGCACGCGCTGCAGTTGCCATGGAGACGCGTGGCCCTTCCCGGGCGCAAGGCGCCGCCGGAAGCCACTGGCTCAGCGGCCGCGGGTCTCCAGCCCCCGGAGGTGCGGAGGAGCGCTCCCGCGGGTGGATGGACCGCGGCGGTGGGGCCCGGCCGTTGGAGGACGGCGAGGACGAGGAGGAGGAGGAGCGACAGGGCTGCATGGCGGCCTCGCAAGTCTCCAGATTGCCCCCCATCGAGGGTTGCACCTCAGAACTGAACAAACGGAAGGTGAAGAAGAAAAAAAAGAAGAAAAAGACCAAGAGGTCGGGCAAAGGGGACGGTAAGAGGAACAGCTAGCGCGGCAGCCTCAGCTCCCACACCTGAACTTCTCCGAGGACACCCACCTCACCCCTGAGAACCCCATCTACTCGAGGACCAGTTCAGCCCAGAAACAGAAACTCGTTGGTACTAATCAGAGGTCCCCTGGCTCCCCGCACGATGAGGCTCCAGCCCTTCCCATAGAAACCATCCATGTCCACAGAGACCCCAAATCCTGCGTCGAGTTCTCAACACCTATGGAGACCTTCAACCCCACACAGAAACACCCCACAGAGCTTCCCAGCCCCACAGTGACGCCTAGCTTTATACACACCCTCATCATTCTAATCCCTCAGTCCAAACTCAAAATCCTGATCATCCTTACCTTCCCCACAAAAGCCTCAAGCCCTCCTACAGCGATGCCTTTATCCTCATACACAGACTTTCCCCACCCACAGGTAGTGAGGCACTAGTGACCTCTTCTCTCAGGCACACACAGAAGCACAGGCTCTTGCCTTCCAGCTGAGGACCCTCCTTACACCCTCATTCCTTGGGGGCCCCTGCCTCTGGGTGCCGTGTAGACACCCCGCTGCTGTGTGTGCTCAGTCGCGTCTGACTCTTTGCAACCTGACGGACTGTAGCCCTCCAGGCTCCTCTCTCCATGGGGATTCTCCAGGCAAGAATACTGGAGCCGGTTGCCACACCCTCCTCCAGAGACACCCAGGAAGCGCAGATAATACAGGGTATACACCCTGTACTGACCGCGCTTCCACTTCCCTCACCTGCCAAGGCCAACCTTCGACTGCACACAGACACCATCACACCAGGCATTGCTACGCACTTTATCATCCTCAGCACCCTCAACACCCCCTTCTATCAGTATTATCACCAAATAAAGGTAAAGCATAGATAGCCAGCAGGCACACACATTCACAGGCTGCACACTCACCTGCCTAGACCCCTCCCCACCCCCATTCACATACAACTATACACATGGGATTCTCACTCCTGGTTTCCCTGTGGACATATCACAGAAACACACCCAGCAACAGCTGCCACAAACCCGCAGAGCCCACAGGCTTACCATGCTCCGCTCAGAGAATTCCCTAGGGACTCCACAAAGGCCCTGAGCACGCATTCGTGGAAAGAGTGCAACAGTGATGTAGAATGCGCCTGTCTGTGGGTGCTGTAAGTCTCTCTTGTCAGTTGTGTGGTCCACTGTGGGGGCTCTTGCTATCAGGGAGGTGGATCAGCGCCCGTTACCTCTAGCACAGTTAGTCCTGGGTTCAAGTCCCTGGGCCCTGGCCTTTATACAAAGCTGGCTCCCCTGGCAAGCTGGAGGCCAAGATGTAGCAGCCTTCCCTTGTAGTTTGGAGAAGTGGGGGATGGGCAGATTACAATTACTCCTCCAGGTGGAATCATCATAAAAAGGCAAGAAAACAGTTCTGGAGTTTAAGTCAATAAGCTCCAGGTGTACCTGCCAAACAGATTAGGAAATTTATTATCTTTTCCAGCTTAGCTTCTGACTCTAAAAATTACAGTGGCATGTACTTCATACTGTCAGCAGGGGACACCAAATAGTTTTGGGAAGTGGAAGGTATAGGAATTTCAAGAGAGGATTCCGCCCCCCCCATCTCTCCTTTTTCTTCTTTTGGTGGGGGGAGGGAGATTCCTCTCTCTCTGCCCCCAAAATAGGATGAGCTGAAGAATCACAACATGTAGTATTTTATATGCACGTTATATAATTCAGAAGTGCTATTAATATTTCAAAAGAATCAGTATACGCCACACAGCAGAAGTATTTCCTGGCTTGGCAGAATGCTTTCCATAGTCAGATTTAGGAAGTTTTTCTGTTGTTCTCCATTTCTTCCATCATAAATTGTCTAGACTAGGGGTAAGTCACAGGCTCCCAGAACTGGGCAGTACCTTGGCGAGCAATGGAGAGGTGAGGTGGGGATGTGTGGAAAGAACCCGGCGCTGGGAGTCAGGCCTGCGTTCAGATCCAAGCTCTGCCACCTGCTATGTGACATTGGAAAGTAACGGAGGCTTTTGGAGTCTGTTTCCTCACCTTGAAAACAGGGCAGATAGCCTTTCCCCAAGGGGACCTGGCTCATAGTATGTGCTCAGTAAATGGTTCCTCCCTCCCCAACATGACAACCCAAAGCCTATAGACAGTGGGTGTGTACGGGGCTGGTGGGCTTGCCCACCTGAGCCCTAGGTAAGGAGGGGCCTTCAGTACCCTCCCCACTTCATCTTTGGTGGTTTGGGCATCACCCCTGAGCGGGCTCAGGGCAAGTATCACAGAGGCTAACGCCGCCCATCTGCTCAGCAGATAAACATCAGAGTCAAGGCATGAAGACTCAGCAACTGTCTCCAACCTTCCGTGACATATTAGGTCCCAGCAAAGATCACGGCCCGGGGCCAGAGCACAGGCAGAACAGGGACGAAAGCAAGCTCTTCTCCTACTCCACCACTGTAAGCCTCCCCCGCTTTGTCGAAATAGAAGAGACCCTTTCCAACCAGGTCAATGAAAGTCTGCGCTGGGATGGCATTCTCGCCGACCCAGAGGCTGAGAAGGAAAGGATTCGCGTTTACAAGCTGAACCGGAGGAAGAGGTACCGAATTTGGGCCCTGAAGGGCTTGCACTCTGACCCCGGCGCCGCGGAGACCCCCGAGGACCCAGCCTACCTCTCGGATCAGCACAGTGGCAGCAGCAGGCAGCTGACGGCCAAGGGCCCCAACCACTGCTCCGAAGGAAGCCTCGTGTCGACGGACATACCACCCTGAATGTGCCCAATCTCATCTGATCTCGGAAGCTAAGTGGGGTCGGGCTGGCTAATACTTGGATGGGAGAAGGAAACCTCATCCCGAAGCTCCTCCACTCCGACTTCCCTGCTGCTCTGCTGGAGCCAAAGCCCACCCATGACCCGGACAAGCTTATGATTTATCCTTCCCACCAGTCTATGTGTTACAACTGTGTCTATACATAAATAAAGGGAAATCAGACTTAGCTCTGAAGGAAGCAGGTGTCTGGTGGGTTGATGAGCTCAGTTCGCCTTCCACCAAGATGTCTTTCAAAGGCCCAGGAAAGCCACAGCTCCTTAAGAGTGTAAGCAGGTCGATGAACAAAATTCTCTTCCAAATGTCCTTTTTTCCTCAAATAAGCTGGCATTGCTTTGTTATTTAATTTCCCATCACAATTAGCTATCTATAGTCTCCCCCACCCACAAAAAAAGAGAAAGTGGATAGATGGTATCAATTCTAAATCTATTTTAAAAAAATATTTATTTGGCTGCCATCAGGTCTTAGTTATGGCACTCAGATCTTTCATTGTGGTGCTCGGGCTCCTCTCTAGTTGTGACTCCTGGGTTGAGTTTCCCACCTCGAGCCTGTGCAATCTTAGTTCCCCAACCAGGAATCAAACCCAGGTCCCTTGCACTGGAAGGTGGATTCTTACCCACTGGACCACCAGCAAAGTCCCTCAATTCTAGTGTTAATCTCTCAGTCGTGTCCGACTCTTTGTGACCTTATGAACTGTAGCCCGCCAGGCTCCTCTGTCCATGGGATCCTCCAGGTAAGAATACGGGAATGGGTTGCCATTTCCTCCTCCAGGGGATCTTCCCAACCCAGGGAGCAAAGCTGGGTTTCCGGCATTGCAGGCAGATCCTTTACAGTCTGAGCCACCAGGAAGTTCCTCAATTCCAAATCTTAAACTAATTTCATGGGTAAAATTCCTCACACAGCATGTTTTCAGAAGCCCAAGGAAAATGCCCTGAATAGCCTGGAGACTTTTCTTTCTTAAATATACTCACTGCCCTTTTGTGGCCTTCAGAATAAGGGAGTTCCAGAGAATCCCCTAAGGGAGGTTATTATGCGAGGTCTCAAAAGGAATATTGTTTCTCTTATCAACATGGTCCTCCTCTAATCCCCCAAGACAGTATTTCAAGCAAACTTACAGAGCAATCCAAGGCCCTGTAAGTTAATGTTCTTGTCTACAAATACTGGGTGAGGGCCATGTGCTGCCTCCATCTGGCTTCTACCGCAAGTAGACGATCTGGGAGGCGAAGGGGGGACCAGTGGAGAGGATGCAGAGGAGGGGAAATGGCCAATCCAGGGAATCTAGTAAACCAGCTTCCACACCAGGCAACCGGGCCTCGACCCCACAGGGAAACTCCATCAGGATGACCCGGCCCGAGGGTGAGGGAGCTGGGGTGTCACGCTCCCCAGAGGCCTTGGCGGAGGGGCCCTGGGTGGGGGGTGGTGTTGGTTTCTGGGAATTTCCAGCCTGCCACATGAGGGCTAGAGGCCAGTCTCACCTGTGGGGGAACCGCGCTCTGGCACAAAGATGCAGCTGGAAGGTTCTGAGAGATCGAGGTGGTCTCTGGGGTAACACTGGACACCTCTGTCAGCACAGTGCAGGCCCCAAGAGGGGCACAGTGGACGTGAGGCTCCAGCCTTCCAAGGAGGTGAAGGCGTGCAGGGTCCTCGGGAGAAGTCGAAATCCAACACGAAACATCACAGGCGGCTTATGTAAAACTTAAAGTGAAAAAAAAAAAAAAGAGAAAGTGGTATGAGTCGAGCACATAGGCACATTCTAGCCACCTGACCAGCCCTAAAGGTTGGAAACCCACCGCCTCAGTACTGACCAAGCCAGGTGCAAATCATAAACCCAATTATTTGAGCTGTGCTGATCAGCTGATACATTCTGCTGCAGAATAGCTCACTGACCCACGGGTACGCAGCCTTGTTCATCTTAGTAAATAGATTCATCGTGTAGTTCTGGAGATGAGTATGCAGGCCCCCCGCAGACAGAGCAGCCCCTTAAGAGGTCCAGTGTCAGGGTTTTCATGTCTTGGCCACCAGACCCGATAAGATATACTGAAGAGGCTTTCAGAAGAGCCCTTCCTACCCTGGAGATGAGGTTAGCAGCCTGGCCTGGCACAGGCCATCCCTATGCCAAGGCCAGGCCGGACCCGAGCTTTCAGGTTGTGGGGCACCCATGGAATCAAGCAAAGGGGACCCCGGGCTCGGGCGCGGCTCCATAGTTAGGAGGAGATGGAAGTGTGCTAAGACCCAGCCTTAGACCTCGCCCGGTGCCTCAGGTTCAAGGTAAAGACAGCAGAGGGTGGGGCAACTGAGTTGGCATTTCCTGTGCCTTCTGGCTCCACCAAGGTGGGGGGAAGTGCATGGAGGAAGCCGAGGGCACATCCGCCTCAGGATGTCTTGGTCGCTTTGCACTGTCTTCCATGCAGGGTGGGGGTTGGGGTGGCCTGTGGTTGCCTTTCTGCCTGAGGTGTTCTGAGATAGTGGGGAAAATGATAGGCTTTGACCTCAGAGCTGCATTTTTCTCTGTCTCACCTCGGACTACCTATCTGACCTCAGACAAATTGCTCAACCTCTCTGAGCCTTAGTTACCCCATCCGGAAACAGGGATGAAAAATTCCTACTTCTGTGTTGTAAGAATCAAATGCAGTAATTACATAAAGCATTCAGCATAGTGCCTGGCCCCTAGGAAGCACTCATTCTATATTAAAGAGTTCTGAGCAATGACATTGTAGGAAGGGGTAGCCACACAGCCACTGGAAAGACTATTCTGGGGATGGTGTAGAACTCACCTCATCAAAGAGTGACCTTCACAACAACAACAACAAAAGACTTCAGTGACTGGCTGATAGAATTAAAACAAACCGCAAAACAAATTACAGGGAATGTAAGAGGAAAGAATTGAGAGTCTCACAGTCCAGCATTCAGGGGAGGGGGCTTTAGGCTGAACAAGAATGTGCCTCCTTATAGCCTGGAACTAAATGGGAGTCTGTGCTCAAGATATGAACCGAAGAAGCTGGTGAGAATTAATGCTCCTACAAGCATGGAAATGACTCCAACTCAAACCACAATGGGTTAGAAGTTTTAAGTGTCTTTCTGATACCCAGCCTGTTTCAGTGAGGACTTTTCCAGTAGCAAGGAATAAAACTTGAAAACCAATGAAAACTGGTTTACAGACAAAAGGAAGTGATTGACTTATAAGGCCAACAGTCCAGGGTTGGTTATGGATGGCTTCAGGCATAGCTGGATCTAGGTCATGCTGTGTCATCAAAATTTGTTTCTTTCTCCACATCTTGCCTCTGCCTCCCTGATTAGCTTCATGTTCAGAAGCAGGTTCACATAACAGGGTTTCAAAGATGGCCACTGACATCCTTACAGTTCATCAAAGAACAACTCCTGTGTTCATATCACTCCCAGAGAAGACCTCTGGCCTGGCACAGGTCATACCATATGTCCATCATGGACAAATCACAGTGGCCACGGAAAGGGAGTGGACTTCCCTATAGCTCAGATGGTAAAGAATCTGCCTGCAATGAAGGAGACCCGGGTTCAATCCCTGTCTCAGGAAGATCCCCTGTGGAAATGGCAATCCACTCCAGTATTCTTGCCTGGAGAATCCCACGGACAGAGGAGCCTGGTAGGCTACACAGTCCATGAGGTTGCAAAGACATGACTAAGTGACTAACACATAAAGAAAGGGAGTGTTTGCTGCAGAGACCTAGGGTGTGGTGGGGACATGGCAGGAGGAGACACCCCTAATGAACACGTGCACTAAACAGACTGTCATAGAAGCTATATAAAACCTACATAGAATAGGGTGACTCCCTAAAGAGATGCCAAGTAGATTTTTTAATTACCCTCTAAATTAAGAATGATTTATTTTTTAAAGACCTTGACCAAGGGTTATGGGGGTGGATTACACAGCAATAATCTCAACGACCTGGATTGACTGCATACTTATCTCCAGAACCACTGACCCTTGCCCAACACTATGGAATCTATTAACTCAAGAATGAACAAGGCTGTGTAACGGTGGGTCTGTGAGCTGTTTTGGAGCAGAATGTATGAGCTGGTCAACACAGCGTAGTAATAATCTGGTTTATGATTTGCACCTGGTTTGGGTGGTACTGAAGGGGTGGGTTCTAACCTTTAAGGTTGGTCATGTGGCTAGCGTGTGCTACGTGCTCAGCTCACTCTAAGACACTCCCACCATGAGTAGCCTCTGGATTTCTACACCAGGAGTGGTTGGAGCCTTGTGAATATCCACCATGGAGACTGCAGGAAGGCAGTTCAAGGAAGGTAACAACTTCGGTGTGGATTGGTGCAATGGATGTCTCTGTGATCTCTGCCTCCAGGTGCTCATGCAGCCAGCACCATCCCCCCACCCCCACATACATCCCCTCTCCCGCATTGAGGACCTGTTGACTCTAACGACTAAAATAGAGCAAAAGTGGTGGAGTGTCTCTTCCAAGATGAGGTTACAGAAAGAGAATGTGTTGGGGGAAGGAAAGAAGGAAGGATGAAGGGCTATAGAAACTGCCATGGTACATACATGTCATTACACATTTGTCCAAACCCATATACAGTCTAACATCAAGGGTGATTCCTCAACTGTGGACTTAGGTTAATAATGTATCAATGTGGGTTCATCTATTGTAACACATGTACCAAGCCATGAACGATGTTAACAACTGGGGAGACTCCAGTGACAAGGAATCCATGTCTCCTGCCAACAGCCGCGAGAAAACTCTGAAGCAGGTTCTACCCCATTAAGCCTTGTGGTGACCATGCCCCAGTGACACCTTGATTACAGCCTGTGAGACCAGAAACCAGATGCATCCAACTGAACGACACCCAGCTTCCCGACCCACAGAAACTGGGAGGTGATGAAGCTGTTTGAAGACACAAAATCCAGGGATAATTTTGTTACTAATACAGTTGGCCTCACCCTCACCATTAGCTGT